AAATCACGCCTCAAACTGAGGGCACTTGTCCCTATAGCCTGTTTTAAATTGAAGTTGTCTGAGTTCCTTACCACCAGCTGCTCTTGCAGTAATAAGTAGTACCTTTCTTACTGTCCTAATGTGCACAATGTAGTGACTGCTTTTCGTCTTATTGTTTACTTAGTTGTGTTCTCTGTATTTGATATGTCTGTGTTATGTGTAATAATGTGTAACGTTGCTGCCTTCTTGGCCAGGTCAGCTATTTTAAATGAGATCTGAGACTGCCAAGGCACACGNGTCTTATTGTTTACTTAGTTGTGTTCTCTGTATTTGATATGTCTGTGTTATGTGTAATAATGTGTAACGTTGCTGCCTTCTTGGCCAGGTCAGCATTTTAAATGAGATTTTATCTCAATGCTTTTTAACTGATTAAATAAAGGTTAAATTAAAAAAATAACAAACAAAAAAAGTCCACCCTCAAATTATGGGAAAATACTCTATGATTCATATTTTGTCGAACAAAATAAATGGAAAAGAAGTAAAAACTCTAAAAGTCTGGAAGAACATCTGCTGTATTTCCCTTGGTGACAGGTTCTGGATTCTTCGACCCGCCCAGCAGACCATCATGGAGGAGCTCCGGAGCAGTTTTGGTGTTTGTGATATTTTCTCTGTGAGAGGACTTTGGAATCTATTTTGCATCAGAATCAACAACCAGCGCACGTGGCAAAAGTGCCGTTAGCTTCTTTCATTCATTTTTTTTTTGTTTGCTAGTGACTTGCAAAGGCTGACCGCGTTACGTGTTGGAAAAACATGCAATATTAGTGGGATCTATTCGTAGAAAGTAGAAAGGAGACTGAGGCTCGTTTTACACCAAAAACCTATGCAGCGTCCCCTGTCTGCTGCCACAGCTTTCACTGTGCCGGGGCAAACTCTCGCTGTCTGTACCGACACACGAGCAGCATGGCAAAGGTCAGACCTGTTAGGGAACATACTTAGGGAGCTGATTTTGGGGGGGTTGGATGATTTTGGGGGGGTTGGATAGTATTTTAAAGCAGCTTCTTAGAAACATAGAGTTCATATTTGTGCAATCAGTAGGTTCCCAAACCTTCTGGGCAGTAATAACAAGGTTGAAACAGCAGCAGAGAGCTGTGTCTGCTGAGTTTGTGTGCTCTCACACTCAGACAGAGACAGTCAATAACAGCTCAGGCCAGAGGATATGTACACACTGTGCATCTGGGCTGAGTGGGACTAAATCACATGAAACGCACAAAGTAGGAAGTGACAGGGTAGGTCAAATGTTTTAGGGTTCAGGACTAGTAACCAATGACATCCTCACAACATGATCAAAACATCAAATGAAGTACAAAAAAAGCTACTTTTCAAATATGGACTTATTCAGATCAAAATGAAGCCATTTCATTTCAGCGTGTATGAATGGAACCATGGCTTATATAAGTTATTTTCAATGTAATATGAACTCCATAGGTCTTCAGTAATAACGAGGAGGATGAGGAGGAGAGAGCTCATATATTCCACTCTGCCTGCAAAGCGCTCCATTTTCGGTGGTATTTTGTGCTCCAATGTGACCTGCTAATAACTGTGATTTCCCCCAGACCGACAATAATGAGGACTTGCTTTTTGCACATTGGGGTGAGGTCTGACATCAGACCATTATAGGTTGTTCCGTAATGGATGAGACTGTGAGGGTTACAGCTAAATAGATTACTACCATAGTTTTAGTAATGGCAGCAGAGCTCTCAAGAAGTCCATGCAAGTTTGTCAGTCCACCACTTGGGTTCAGACTAGAATTATCTCAACAGCTTTGGATGGCTTAGAATGACATGTTTTATAGACATTCATGGTCACCACAGGATTAATCATAATGACTCTGGTGATCTCCAACATAAATCAAATGCCCATTAGCCTCAGCTAGCAATGCTAACAAGATAAACTAAGATTAATAACATGGTAAACGAAATATCTGCTAAACATCAGCCCGGGAGCATAGTGATGTAAGCATGTTAGCATACTGGACTTAGCGTTTAGCTCAAAGCGTTGCTATGCCTGCAGAGCTCATGTCTGTAGACTATTTTGTGTTTATTTAAAAAAAAAAAAAAAATTCCTTTCGCATCCACTGTATTGTGGTGAAAACAGAGACAGTTATCTCAAAACCTAGACAAAAAAAACGACTTCTGTTATGACTGAATAATATCTTTCACTTCCAATAGCACACATGTACGAACAACACATATAGAGGCTGGAGTGAAACACAATGGCCAATCATCATCAAGAATGCAAGACATCATATGATAGTTCCTGTGTTTCCACAATGCACAACAATTCTTCTTTATGCACATACTGTCCTCCTCTGTCCTGGAAAAATGAAGTTTGTAAAATATATTTGAACTGAAGGCATGTCATCTGTTCAGGAACTGCAGGGATCAACATACTAACACTCTCATCACCATAAGACTAATGACCATCTCCTGAATGAGTCTAAGGCCCCTGCCCCACGAGGACGCATACGGCTAAACGCATAGGATTAACGCAAACGCAATCGCAAAAAAGCTTCCGTCCACACGCAATGTTCACCGGATAGTGTCTTTCCACACGAGACAGCTCCGTTTAGCTCCAACCGCTGGAGAAGCTGCAGTACATATGCAGGAGCCTGTACGTGGCGCTGTAACTTCCTCCACAAAAGCAGCGAAGAAGCATGGTTGTCATGGTTGCCCTTCTGTTTATTCTCCGCGGTGGGGGCCGAGGGAACCGGGCAGAGTTTTTCGCCAGTCAGCGTGTATTCAAGTTTAAATCTTCCGGACAAAATTATAAAAGTGCCGGTCAAAGGTCTTCTTTGTTATTTATTGAGCTTTAAAACAAATGAATAACGACTCTATATAATATAATAATATAATACACGGAGCCTCTCTTTTTCCTCCCTCTCTTCTGACAGCGTCAGTGTCTGTCTCATGCAGCAGCTGATCCAGTAATGAGTGACCCGACAGTAAAAATAAAAATATTTATAACTAGTTTAGGTAGTTTGAGAGGTAATTAAAATAGCTAAGGGTGATGATCTGACTTGAAGTGTGTGTTTTGCTCCGTTCACCGCTGTGATGGAGCTGCAGGTGAGCAGAGCTGCGTGTCTCCGTCCTGTCAGATTATACTTCACCCTCGTTTATGTCCATATCGAGAGAAAGATAAATAATCTGAATTCAGTGTGCAGTTTACTTTGACGCGGGGGTGAGCAGCAGAGGTGGGGAGAGGCGGGGCTATTGCCTCATCATTATCAGAAAATGATCGTATAGGGCGCACACACGGAGCCGTTGGACCCCCCAGAGCGTTGTGTATGCCGTTCTATCCACCTTGGGACCCGTTACCGTTTCCGCAGTTGTTTACTGTCCTATTCGGTCGTCCTCGTGTGGCCGAACGGTCTATATCACACTAAACAGTAACGCAAACGACCGTTTTCGTCCTCGTGGGGCCGGGGCCTAAGAATGAGTATATGTGGGTTTACAATAAAGGTTTATCATTTTCAAAAGTTCAGATATCTGGTGATAGTATTGTCCTTTTTATCTCAAGCTTAATATAATTGACTGTATTGTTTGCATCATATTAAAGTAAATAATCATAGACGACTGGATTTAATCTCAATGTAATCAGCCTCATTAACATTCATAAGAGACTTGAGAACAACAACAGCAAAACAGAAACAACACAACAGAATCAACAAGACTTAAAAACAGTAACGACCATAAAATAACTGATATAAAGCTTTAAAATCTCCCGGTGGAATGCGAGACTCAGGGGAAGATAATTAATAGAGTAAAATGAGAGAGGCGAGGTAGTTCGGAAGCTCCAACATTAGATCTTTATAACTGAATAACATATGATGGATTTCTCTTGTTGACTGTAAGGAGTTCCAACAAATCTTTTGAGACAGAGAGCAATGATGAATGTGAATCTGGTCATGTGATACACAGGGATGAATGTCTGAATTGAATATGGGGCAGCATGACAGAGCAGAATGTCTCAATTCTCAAGGACAAACACGAAGATTGTCTGCCCAAAGTTTCTATGGTTGGAAGAGGACACGTTTTAATTATACTGCATACAAGGACTTTCATTTTTTAGCCTCAAATGTTGAGTATGAATCTTGAATGACAATCTGCTGTCAGGTCAAAGTATTTGTATGGCTCACGAAGAGTGACTGACATTTAAAGTTTTAATGGCAGGATAGTCAGTGTCAGTGGTAGAGTTGGAGAATACCAGTCTTTTCTCTATTAAAAACGAGTCTGTGATCATGGAGTGATAATTAGAAAGCATCGCAGGCAGACTGAATACGAAACAGTGCTGGAGTGCAGCCTGGGACATTTAAGATTCTATCATCTGCAAAACAATGTTCATTCTAGTATTGATTAAGACAAAGAAGCAAATCAGAAATACATTCCATCATTTACAGACATCCAAGCAAGTTTATCTAATTTCATTTTGAGTGAAAATTGTTAGCTCATTTGAATGCTCTGACTGATCTCATTGGTTGCTACCCACAGCTAATTCCTGTGGGTAATGTAGCAATATTGGCTGACAACCACTATCAAATGATGTTATATATGCACGTAAGATTGAACTAACACCCAAAATAATTAGGCTGGTTATATTCCAAACATTTCTAATTGTCAACAAATCAAAATAAAATGACCAAAACTAACCATTTATTTGTCTCTCCCATATCTTGTCAGGGGCTCTCAGATCAGAGCACATTAATTCCCAGTAAAAATGTAAATCTTTAAAAAAGCCTCACAAATCCTCAGAATCAGAAACAGGTTTATTGCCAAGTAGGTACACATACGAAGAACATTAAAACATTAAGATATAGCAATATTTACATGAAATAAAGGGGAAATATAGATATCTTCCATGCTGCTGGAGCTGCTCTCTGTGTGACAGTAAGTGAACATTGAGTTCTGATGACCTGCCCTATAATTTAAAGGCTGAATGTTTCTGTGTTATGTTCCTCTGCCCAGCGATGCGAAGTGCGGTAAGATCCAGTGCCACAGTGCTGCCAAGAAGCCCAAAGGCACCAACGCCGTCTCCATAGACACCACCATCAAGACGGACGGCATCGAGGTGAAGTGCCGCGGCACCTATGTCTACAGCACCCAGGACGGCCAGGGGGACCTGCCGGACCCCGGCCTCGTGATGACCGGCACCAAGTGTGGGGAGGGCAAGGTAGGCCCACAGGGCAAGGCTGGGGAGGGGGCTTTAACAATGTAATCCATCCAATTACAAGTTACCTGTAGAAACATTTAATCAGTTACCTAATCCAAGCAACAAAATATAAAAGTTATGTAACCTGATTCCTTTCCGTTAGTTTGGGATTACCTCAATATCAAATTCAATGTAAATAAATCAAAGCGAAAATAAATATCAATAAGAAGTTTTTGCTAAAGTGTATTATGTAACGGAGGCGTGTGGCGCAGTGGATAGAGCCTTGGTGTTGGGATCAGGGGGTCACATGTTCAAACCCCACTGCAGTCAGCATGTCGTTGTGTCCCTGGGCAAGACACTTCACCCCAAATTTCTCCTGTGGGGATTGCCCACAGTATTGAGTATGTAAGTCGCTTTGGATAAAAGCGTCTAACAAGTAACATGTAATAATAATGTAAGACAATAGAACAATGTGACCTGAGAAAAGAAAAAAACAAGATATTGAGTATCACAAATGTGTCCTCTTACAGGATAGACCTACAGAATAGTATAGTTTACAAATTATGATTTAGTTTAATACATCAATTAAACACAGTGTTTTTGTTTAATAAATCAGTTGTTCACCAACTGCATTTAGAAAAAGAGATGTCAAATAGGAGATGAAAGTACCCTAAATAAAACCCAAAAGAATATCAAGCAGTACGTCTACCTATAACATGTACATTTTTTTTTTTTTAAGTATTTGTAATGTTGTAATCCTTCTTTTAATCCCCACTTTTAATTGTTACAGTATTCTGATTATGCCTTTGTTAAATGTAACTGTAAGGGGATACAATTCAAATGTATCCTGTAATCCCGTCACACGTAATCCGTTAAGGCCTTATCACACTGTCCCGAAATTGACATCAGATGGACACACGAAAATGGAATTGTGAATTTCGCACGAGGCAAGATGGCCCCGAACTTGGTCAACAGCCAAGCAACAGCCGAAGCAAGTAGGATGCCTACAGAAGGCCACACGATGGCACCCGAACCACACACGAAAATATGGTCGTAGACTTTACTGATGATTTAGAATGTATCCAGAATCAACGTAAGAGCTTGTGCCTCTTCGGGGGGTGCCAACATTTAAACATACACTTTATTCTATCTAAATAAAACAGGAAGTTAACCTAAATTATATTTAAGACATAGAACTGCTACGAAAGTAACAAAACAATCTAATATCCTTTTTAGTTTCACAGAAAACAAATTGGGTTATTTACATAATTTGTTTACATGATTTTGTTGCGAAATAAATGCAATCTTGATGTCTTCGTACTATAATACGATGGCTACATGATGGCATTGCGAGGGCATCACGTAGTCCTGTTGCCTTCCTAAGACAATCGGGCAGCTTCTTGTTTCCTTCATATTGTCTTCATGAGGCGAAAAATGCCCGATGGCACCGATGATCAGACGAAGTAAAGACGAAGATGACCGATTTGACAAGATGCCCTCACGCTGGCCTTACGAAGGGAAAAATGGACACACAAATTCAACACGAAAATGAACCTTCGCAAGGTCCTTCGGCAATTTTTTGGCATGCCAAAGATTTTGCCACCGCTCACGAAGTTGCTGCCGGAGCCTGAGAAACTCCACCGCAATCATACGATGGCTTAAGATGCCCTCTGTCAATTTCGGGACAGTGTGACAGGGGCTTTACAATCAAAGCCTAGGTTTAAGGGACCTTATATAAGAGTCTGTCAATAAACAGATTTACCTTGTACCTATATTTCATCTTCATATTTAATCATTAATATGCCATAGTTGCTTAATTGAATAGTGAAACCCTTTTACATGAGCAGTGAATCAGATCACAGCCTGTTGTTGTGAGTGAGCAGAATATCCCCAGCTCCACAGCATGGAATGACCACTGGGTTAACAGGGTCTTTTGATCAATACCAACATTGGACTCAACCATTACTGTATGTGGTCCCTTGCCAAGAGCCTGAACACCTAGCCAAGTCCTGAGAACTGGCCCTCAACTGAAGAGAGAGGAGGGAGGAGAGGAGACTGGAGGCACTGAGCAACTAAGGCTCGAAGAGTTTATGATGAGTCTTACAACGAAAGACAAAAGCAAGAGTGTTTCTGCTCTATAATCTGTACTGGTTCACATTTTGTATGACCTTTTATCATGTTTTCTGGCTTACAACAGTGGTCATGTTTGTAAAGGTTACCATAGCCCAAGGATCAGGAGACAGTCAGACAAAAGTTCCTGATATAGTGACTGGATATAGTTCCTGATATAGTGACTGGATATAGTGACTTGATATAGTGACTCGATATATAGTGACTCGATATACTGTAGTGACTGGATATAGTGACTGGATATAGTGACTGGATATACTGTAGTGACTAGATATAGTGACTGGATATAGTGACTGGATATACTGTAGTGACTATATATAGTGACTAGATAATATAGTGACTGGATATACTGTAGTGACTAGATATAGTGACTGGATATA